ATGGCGGCGGTAGGGTATGGCAGCGGTAGGGTATGGCGGCGGGGGGGTATGGCGGTAGGTTATGGAGGCGGCAGTAGGGTATGAAGAAAGGCGGGGAGGGAGTAGGGAAGGACGGGAAGAAGAAGAAGAGGAGGGAAGAAGATCTAGCGAATGGAGCAGAAGAAGAAGAAGAAGAAGAAGAAGAAGATCAAGAAAGGTCGAGGAGAAAGACGAAAACACGAGGGGGAGGAGGGTAAGAAGAAGAAGACGAGAAGACGACGAGAAGAGGAGGAGGAGGAGAAAAAGAAGATATGCGGAGGAGGGGGAGGAGGGTAAGAAGAAGACGAGAGGATGATGAGAAGAGGAGGAGAAAAAGAAAAACGGAGAAGGAGGGGGAGGAGGACGACCTTTTTTTTTTTTTTTTTCACCTGTCGTGTCTCACGTGACCTACCGAATGTTGACGAAGGAGAAGGAGAAGGAGAAGGAGAAGAAGAAGGAGAAGAAAAAGAAGAAGAAGAAGAAGAGGAGGAGAAAGAAAATGAGTGGGGGAGAAGGGGAAAACGACAAAGAAGAAGAAAGGTTGAGGAAGATGAAAATGCGAGGGGGACGAGGGGAAGACGAAGAAGACGAGAGGAGGAGAAGAAGAAGAAGAAGAAGAAGAAGATGAACCGCGAAAGGGGGGGGTAGGTGGATGGCTTGTCATATCTCACGTGACCTACCGAATGATCAAGAAGAAGAAGAAGAAGAAGAAGAAGAAGAAGAAGAACATCGGGGCCTTCGGTGTTACCTGCAACAATTACCTTAGCAGCAGGGCCTTCGTCTGCCCGTCCAACACAAATCGAAGAAGAAGAAGAAGAAGAAGAAGAAGAACGGCGCCTTCGTCGCCGGGGCCTTCGTTGTAGCAGCAGCAGCAGGACAGTCGGGGCCTTCGTCGTAGCAGCAGCAGCAGGACAGTCGGGGCCTTCGTCGTAGCAGCAGCAGCAGCAGGACAGTCGGGGCCTTCGCCGTAGCAGCTGCAGCAGGACTCTCGATGGTGATGGCGACGGGCGACGGGCGATGGCGACGGGTGACGGGCGATAGCGACGGGCGACGGGCGATGGCGACGGGTGACGGGCGATGGCGACGGGCGACGGGCGATGGCGACGGGTGACGGGCGATGGTGACGGGCGACGGGCGATGGCCGATGGCGCAGGAGCAACTCCAATCATGCGGGGGGGCGAGTGGCAGACCACCCCAGCCGATCCCAGGTTTGAACGAGGGGATCTTTGGCGCCTAGATCCACCGGCTCTGTGGCCGTCTATCATGGTGGATCGACGGCCACAGAGTCGTCACAAATTTTCAAAAATCCCGCAGGCCTACCGGGCCCGACGGGATGGTTTTTCGGGCCGGTCGGACCCGGTAAGCCTGCGGGAGGCCAACAGCAGCGAAAAGGGGGTCCGAGACCCCCAGACAGGTGAGTGCGCTGGGGGGGCCCGGCCCCCAACCGGGTGCCCTGCCCAGCCAGGCCAACCGAGACCTCCCCTGGGCCCCCGACTGTCAGCCGGGCGGCCCGGATCCCCACCCAGTTTAATAGTTGATTTTTGTTTTCTACTTTTTTGGGCCCGGCTGGGCAAGTGGTCCTGGGCCACTCTGGTAGCCTAGTGTATGGTACTATAATTGAAGAATTTTGAATTTTCATCATATCTATTTGTTTCAGGTTATGAAATACAGACCCAAGTTCGAGTCCAGATACACAATTAGATGACCAGAATAAGACCATCATTCTGAATTACCTGGGGCCGGTCAGCTTCAATGATGATATCTCAAGGTCGTCGCCCTTTGGAAAACGAAAAAGAAGAAGGAAATGCTTCCAGGATGGCCAGTTCAACCAGTCTGACCAGAGAATTGGAACATAGCCCACCTCTGGGTTTCCGTATGGGCCAGGAAAAGGCCCTTCCTGTTTTCTTCTTCTTCATTGTCTTCTGCTTCTTTTTTTTTTTCTTTTTTTTTTTGAAAAAATACAGCTGTCTTATCCTGGTATATGGGGGACAAGCTGTATTTTTTGCTACCCTATTTTCTTCTCTCAATCTTTGTATCTACCTCACCCTCGCTACCTACCTAATGGGTTACCTATATTCTGGAAGAAGCACTTTTTCTATTCAGGAGCCAACATTAAGTGTACCAGCTATGCCTCAGCTGTCCTAAGGTTATGGGTCTATTCCTACCTAACTCTGCTCTGTGCGGGGAGCAGCACCCAAGCTTCGAACACCTGGCGTGGGCCGGAAAGTGAGTTAGCGACACTTCCACAACCAGCCAGGAGACACAAGCCGACTTTCTCAGTCGGTGAACCCAAAGTATGCCACACAGGGGGTCGTGGGGAATCGAATGGATGCTGTGGGGAACAAACCACGACCTCCTGTGTACCACTTACGTGCTCAACCAACTGAGCTGGGCCGTTGGATGCAGTCAACGCATTTTTAGAATAAACATTTTGAGAGGAGGAAGAATGTGCAGTTGCCCTCATTGAACACAGAGGTGGAAATGATCATTTTGAAGGGAGGAAGAATGTGCAATTCGCACGGCACTGAACTATGTGCATGTGTTTTCACTCTTACAAGTTTGGTCAGCAGGCATGCCGAAATCCGTGTAATTGTGTCCAACCGTCTCGATGCTGACAGTGATGCTTATGTGATTTGCTCACTGCAGGTTTATGGAGATCCGGACGCTGCTGATGCGGTGTTTATTTCCGGTGCAGATATTATTGTCATAGGTCTGAATGTGACAACTCAGATGCTGATGACAGGTAGGGTTGGATGCTCCTCTCTGCTTTGCATTCAGGTTCATGCAATTTTTTGCCAGTGGCACAAGCTACTATGCAAAACCAGAACGTCTCAAAGGCTCACAGCAGGGCCAAGTAGTTATATCTAGCGACTACCGTCTTCACCCGAAGAGAATGCACAACAAGATTCAGCAAAGACAGACACAGAATGCACAACAAGATTCAGCAAAGACAGACACAGAATGTACAACAAGATTCAGCAAAGACAGACACAGAATGCAGAACAAGATTCAGCGAAGACAGACAATTCAGACTGAGAACTCGCAGGTCATTGCAAGAAAGCCAAAGAAACTACTTTTTCTTTTGCCCCAAGCCATCATGGATAGCACAGGACTTGAACACTTGACCTGTGGTCAAAAGTCTAAGGTATGTACTATGTACCATTCAGCCGCCAGGCAGAGGGAAATCGATGCAGCAGGAAAAGTTGAAAAGTTTGAAGTTTGAACCAGAGAGTTGCAGACTAGAGTGACTGATTGCATCACTTTTCTGTGTGCTGAATAGAGGAGGACTTGAATCATCTGCGGGATGACGGAGGGCCAGTGGGAGAGTTCCTGCACAAGGCGGCGCAATTCTACTTGCAGTATCATCGGGATTACTACGACATGAACGGTAAGAAACAGGGCCGAGGACATAATGGCTTGCTATCACCTGCCCTTTGCGTACACGTGCTGTGTCTTACTGCATCATCCCGAAGCTATCAAGCTGACACACTGGCACACAAATCCATTGGTATTCCACTGTCTCATGCCATTGTGGGCCATGAAAAGTGCTGCAAGCATAGTTATTATTTAATATTTATACCATCTTCTCAGTCATCGGTGTGTGAGAATACTGAATTTTAGTAGAAAATACTAAAAATAGTAAATGATGATTAGAGCTGTCATCAGCCAACTGCATAGTCAGGATAGCGGATGCTCCTAGCGCACCTGCGCTCAGGGGGCTGAAATTAGTTGAGGGTGTGGAGGTTCCACAGAGAGGGGTGCAGGGGTGAAATATAGGCAGAATGGAGAGGGAAGGTTTCTGGCCTTAAAATCGGGGGGGGGTGGCTAACGGAGTAAGTGCTCTGGTGTTTTTGGCGGTGTAGGGGACGGGAGTGAGCTGGAAGTTGGGCTCTTCTTAAAGGACGTGTTCGTCCTTAGTGCTGAACCCTGCCTAGGGGTGCCTTAGATGGGTCCATCACCCTCTGACAGGGCCCTGACTGTTGCCAGTCAGTTTTTCACTTTAGGCAACGGGAACCCTGCCCAGCTTACCTGTGCACACCCTCTGACAGGGCCCTGACTGTTGCCATTCAGTTTTTCGCTTCAACTTTTAAGCAAAAACCGGTACCCTGCCCAGCTTACCTGTGCACACCCTCTGATGAATGAGGGACCACAGAGAGGTTTGAGTCCGTTTGACCTAGCGGCCCAATATGGTGGGCAGCGCTGGCCTTGCCCGCCATGGCTTGGAAAACTAGTGCGGGCAAAATCGTTTTGGAACCTACCGGTGGCCTAATTAAGGACATCTGGACGTAAACAGAGGCTGGAATCCAGGTTTCAAGGGTGCAAGAAATTTGTCACTGTGCATGAGTAGGTGGATATTACCAAGGTGAGGGGCTGCTGTGTAAATGAAGTTTTAATAACAAATCTTGACGTAAGTCACGTAACACATTTTCATAATGAAAACGGACTCTATTTTGCATGTTTGAAAATCTGCTTTTTTCATTTAATTTAAATTACACAAGGTGCCATTGAGACTATTTTCAAATAGCGTCTTTCTGTAGCTCAATGTGTCAAGAGGGGAAGGGTGGCTGGGGTATGTCGATATATAGACAATCTCCTATGAGTTATGAGAGGGGCATGGGTGGAGTGTTGATCTGCAGACTTTCAAGAAATTATCACTTTGCATGAAGGGGTGGATACTACGGAGGTGAGGGGGGGAAAGAGGGGCCGGTGATACATAGACAACCTCTAATGAGTTGTGAGAGGGACATGGGTGGAGTGCTGATCTGCGGGCATCGCTGCATGAGGGAAAACAGGGGCCTGAGCAGTCAGAGAAAATTGTCAAAAGGGAGGGGCGTTGACCTGCAGAGATCCCTACCGTACCATTCCCTCTAGTTTCAATTTCTCACCATCTCTGTTGCCCAGTCTGCCCTCTTTCTTCCTCCCTCGAATGGAAGCAACCGTCCCTCTGGCATGCCATAGGCAGAGGGTAATATGGAGGCGACAACAGATTAGAGAGTGCCACGGGTACCAACGGGGCCTAGCTCAGTTGGTACACCCATGAACTGTTGAAAAAACAACCTGAGTTCATCACAGCCCCTCGTTTGTTGTCCTCTTCTCCCTCTCTGCCGCCTGATTACCAGGCAGTTCTGTTTGGCCATAAGATGTATGGCTGAAAATCATGTTCTGATTGATCCATTTTCATTTGTTGCATAGTTGAGGTGGACCAAGGCCTGTCTGTCTACTGTCTTTTGAACATAATGCATATGTGTTGTAAATGAATACAACACATACGTTGCTTTCTATTGGAATGCAACGCATCTGTGTTCACCCCTTCGGTTCGAGTGCAACGCATATGCGTTCTGTTCGGATCATGAACGTGTTTCAAAAACTCAAATGCAACGCATATGCGTTGCATTCATGTACGGGGGAAGATAGTCCTCTTGGGTCTACCATGGCTGTGCAACCTGAAGCCTTCGACGACACATGGCATAGGCTATCGCCATGGCGTTCTTCCCCACACTCCTCGTGAAAGAAAATGAACAAAAAAAATGTGTTGTGCTGCTGAGGAGGCAGTGTTCTTTGGCAAAGAAGCAGCAATCGACGTTTGAAAAATAGGAGGGCTGGTAGGCCCAACATCTGTGTCCCTAGAGTCATTGCATGTGATTTGAAGAGTTGGGTGTAGGTAGCCCTCGTCGGAGGAGGGCCTGCCATCCTTAAAACCAAATTGTTGGAGGTGTGTTCTGCCAGACTGGCATTTTCTTGTGTTTAAGCGCAGGGGCATATTGGCCTTTCACTGCTGCTGCACGGTTGTTGTTCATAATCCACAAAAAAAAAAAAACGAGAAGACTGGTAGGCCCTCAGTGCTTGTCCCAAGGACAATTGCAGCCACGACTAAAGCCGTCTTTCTCTCAGTCAATTGGGATCGAGCCATGGGGCGGTGGGGTCAATCATCAAACTGGTGGCGTAAAGGAGTAGCAGTGGCAGCAGCAGGAGGAGAAGGAGGAGGAGGAGGAGAAGGAAGGAAAAGGAAGGATTTGATAAGTGCTTTGGTACTGTGCTTCACGTCTTGTGTTTCCTTCTCCGAGTTTGTTAAGGGTCTGGTCTCCTATCTTCTGATTCACGTTTCGGTTGGACAACGATGTTTGTCGAGTTGTGTGATGGTTCACAAAGTGGCTAATGTTATTACGTTTTGATGGGTGTGGTATTTTGCCAAATGTCTGTTGACTCTGTTATTGTGCAGCCATTTATGTGCATGATCCTACAACTATTCTTGCTGCAATTGATCCGTCGGTCTTCACTCTGAAGACTGGTGCTGTTCGAGTGATCACCGAGGGGAGGTTCAAGGGCACGACACTTATGAATGCTCTTGGTACAAAACGGTACGGCACTGTAGTCCCCTTCCTTGATGAGTAACCTGTCTTCCTCAATACATGACTGTGTTTCCTGTAGCTGCTTCCTTCAGAGCGATCTATCTGTCATGTCCGTGCATACAGTAGAGCTTCCAGCAGCTCGAGTACATCCGTGATCCATATTCAATTGCAAATGTCATTGTGTGAGTCCTCCGTTAACCATTAGCGGTACGTACATCGGACAACGAGTTGAAAATTGTCCAGTGTTGGTGGAAATGGAGAGATCGAGGCAGAGTTTCTTTCTTTCCTTAGTTCTGGTCGGGGTAAGGACCTGCCAAACACGGACTGAGACACAGCCGATTTCTGCGTTTTGCCAATGGAATGTACGCCTTGCCGAGTTTCCCGCTTGATGCTGAGTTTGCTAAGTCTGTGCGTGGTTGTGCTTGCTGGTCTGAATGCCTGTCTGAGTGCTTGACGGTTTGAGTGTGTGTGTGACCCAAGGGTACCATCCGTACGGGAGGCCCAAAGGAGGCCCAAATGGCCGGTACTTACCTGTGGCCGTGGCATTGAGGGTTGCTGCAGGGAAAACACTCAAGTAGCAGGTAGGCCGGTACAACACCAAGTAGAGGTAGATGTGCCGGGTACTCGAGGCTGATCAGAAGAAGACAAAGTTGGCATTTTTAGAGCCCCAGTAGTTGTAGGTTAGGTCTAGGCGGGTACCAGTCGAACCAGTCTGAGTTGAGGGTCTGTACGGGCAATACCAGAGTCTGCAATGATGTTTCCCTCCGAAAGGGAGGAGGTACCGGTTGCTTGGAGGCCGCGCGGCTTACAGTCTTCCCCCGAATACAACGCATGGTCATTATAGCTGAATTTGGTGTATCTTTCGGTCTAAATTCAGCTATAATGACTGTACGTTGTATTCGGGGGAAGACTGTAGGAAGTCACCCCCAAGAGGCAAGCAGGCCGCTATATCTCCAGGAGGAGCGAAGTGCTCCTCATTGTCGGTGTGCAACTTTGGCGACACACTGGTTGGAGCGATGGCTGGAGCAGCGCTGCTGAGGAAGGAGCAAGGACAGAGGAAGGAGGAAAACTAGGACTAGGAAGGGGGAGCGCCAGAGGTACTTACCTGGCTATGGTGGTTGCCATCTTCATCACCTTGGTGGGCGCTGCAGCAGGAAGGCCCGTGGGGTAGAGCTACACCAAGAAGCTTCGAGGCAGAGTCGGGCATGGCGGCCTGAGCTGGAGCAGCCATAGCTGCTTTGTGTTGTCCTTTGCACAGCAGGGCAATGCCCTGGTAGTCCGCCATAGCCTCGGCCTTGGAGGAAGGAGGAAGAAGAGTGGCCATGGCTATGGGGGACCTCATGTGATACCTGCAGATAAAGAGGGATTCGGAAATTGATTCTGGTTCAGCCATTCAACATTATTATTATTATTTCTACCAATTTCTGGTTTGAATAAGTGGGGAGGAGATAAGGAGGAGGAGAGTGGTTATCATTGGTCTATGCTGGTGTACATCGTCTTCTTCTTCTTTCCCTCTCTCTCCTCTCAAGTTCAGTCATTTCGTTTTGCTATGCTGGTGTACATCATCTTCTTCTTCTTCTTCTTCTTCTTCTTCTTCTTCTTCTTCTTCTTCTTCTTCTTCTTCCCCTCTCTCTCCTCTCAAGTTCAGTCGTTTCTTTCTGCAATTGGACGGAATTGTACTTTCTCATAAATGTGTACTTCGAAATTGGCCAGGATCATAACATTGATATCGGAGCGGATTCTACTTGCTGGCAAGAGTTGACTTTGCTGCCTAACCCTAACCTAAGTGGTTGAGGGCACCACTTAGGGTTAGGGTTGGTCGTGAGGGAAGTGGGGCAGCGTGGTCTAGGAAAGCTGCCCCAACCTGGCGGGGTCGTGCTGGGTCGGTTGTTTGAGAGTAAGTTTGGGATGGCGAGACATTTCTTAGAGACTTCATGCGGCAATTTGAGAGAGGCGACAGTGAGAGGCACTCACACCTGGAATCTGATTCAAGGGAGACACTTGGCGACTTTAGGGCTTCTCTCAAGTAGGTGAGCTTGAGGGAAAGCAGCCATTCTGCATCTACGGACTGCAAGTTGCTACTTTGTTCTTCAGCATCGGCGGGGGATGTGGCATTGCACTTGGGTGTTGGAGTCAGACTCTCCTAGGAGATAGGACGCTCGTGTAGGGGTAGCGTTACTTGGGTCAGGAGGATCATATGAGAGGGGGGGTGTTCTATTTCTTCGCGAAGCTCAGGCCACTCAGGTAAGTGTCGTGCACCTACAGGATGCCCATGTGTTTGAGTGCATGGTATTGTTTGGCCTGATGGGGTGATTCTGGGTTTCTTTCCTACTCCTCTGTGGTCTTGATTGTGTGTTGCTTACTCACCTAATGGATGGAGAATGAAGTATCTTGCTTTGAATGTTGAGTCCTTCTACATTGCTTTGTCTTTTCATCTTTGAACGGCTGTAGTTTGTATGTTCTCTTTGAAAGTTTGAAATTCGTTTTTCGGTACGGCAGTGGCAGAAAGTAGGTCCACGTGGGACTCCTTTTGGTTGGGACTCGGTCACAGCCTATGTGGGACCCTTAAAGGACCCAGTGGGACAGGGCCCAAGCAAGAAGGGCCCCTTGGACCCAAACCTGTTAGACATTAGTGCATTCTCTTTCTGACAGGAATTCGGAGTTTATTCTTTGGTTAGGACACTCACTGCCGAGGGGATCTCAGCTTGAGACGTTTCACATGCTTTTATTGCACCATTCGTAGCTTGACTCGTACCTTGTACACCACTCAATTCTCCATTGTTGCATGTCGTCACTCGTTGTCTGATTTGTGGTACGTTCACATAATTGACCAAATTGGACTCGAGGGGATCTCGTATTCGGACTGCTCAGGCTGAGTCGCTGAATCAGATCTCTCATTTGAATTTATTTTTTTATTTTTTTTAATTGGTTGCTTTCTAGTCTAAATGTAATGTCGCTCCGGCTAGGAGTTCTACCTTCTTTTTCTTTGAGCTCTTTAGTTTGTTTCTTTTTTTTAGGTCATGTTTCAATGCCCGTTGAGACTCATGGACAAAAGGAGGAGGGAGAGAGAACCCATCTTAAGGGATTTGCTGAATCATTTTCTGTAATGCCGGCTGAAAATCCCGGTAGTTCTAACATGGCAGCAGTAAAGGCCTCTGTGGCCTTAAAGGCCCACCTAGATGCAGCCAACGATGAGGACAAACCATTGTTCCAAGTTCTTTACAACAAGGCACTTGAGAGAGAAGAGAAGGCAGAGGAGGAAAAGCAGAAAACCATTGTTGCGAACGATGAGGCTGTCTTCAAAAGTCCCCTCCTTGCCTAACACTGAGGTCAAGAAAGATCTGGTCACATGTGTGCGTGCTCTCATAGACTGTCACCTACTTAGTGAAATTCCTGGTCGCTAAACGTTTTGACCAGGCAAGTGAACTGCATATGCAAATTGTGGATATGGCCAAGGAGCACAGTGATCAGATGCAACAAATGGCAAATTTACATCAAGCCCAGATTCCTACCTCCTACCTCCAATGCTGCTAACTAGTCTGTCCTTGCTCCTCTCCATACCTCTACTCCTTCTCTAAATGTGATTCAATCGGCACCTGTAGTGGGTGCAGACCCCACTGCTGCTGCAACAAGTGACAGCGTAGGGATTTCTGCAACTGTTGCAGCCTCAAGTTCAGGTACAGCATTTGCTGGTGTCGGCTATAGCAGTCCCTATGTGGACAGAAAGGCGGTACAGATACAAGTACGACAGCAAGGAAGACGTGGAGTCGTGGATCAGCTTCATGAGAGCCTACTTCGAGGTGTTGGGAACTCGACCATTGAGCCAGTCCTTGATCATGGGAACAAACGGCGAACCCGTCGTACGAGGTTTTTAAGAAGTTCAAGCTATGCAGGCCGGGAACACTAAGACCGATGTGACTCGGTGGCTAAGGCCACATCAGTAACCACACTTGAAAAGATACTGATTAAACAATATAAGGATCCACATGGTGCTCCAAGCATCAGGAAGAGACTTGATAATCTCAAGCGCAGCAAGTGGACGGGCTCCATGCACAACCTGCAGTTGTTTGTTAGCAAATGTTTTGCTACACACCCGGATTGGAAATGACTGCACAATCATGCTTGGATGTTGTGAAAGGTACGGGTCCCACTACAGACAGGCATCGCCTAGGCAAAGAGCTCATTGGATATACAGACTGGTTCTCCCTCATGCAGGATGTGGTCAGCCTTGAGGCACAAGACCTCGTTTCCACAACAGGCAGCAAAAAGCCTACAGGCGGCACGCGGTTTCGAGGCAGCAATCGTTTTGTTGTGCATGACCTGTTGGAGGCCGATGAGGCGGCCTATGCAGACGACCCCACTCTTGGTGACGAACAAGAACAGGACCCTGATACAACCTATTCCTCTTCAGCCTATGACTCTTACGCAAGTAACGAAGAAAGAATTAAATGCCCTTAGAAAGTCTGCCAATATGAAGGGACCAAATCGGAACTCTGGGAAGAACTATGTCAGACTTCCCAAGGGAGTCAAAATCCCAGCGAAATCGGAGGATGCAACCACCAAACCTTGGGTTGACCTCCGGATCACTGAAAGGGGTGTGCTTGCATTACCTGAAACTGAATGACGAAGTTCAAGATTGCTATAGGCTGCAGGGAAACCTGAATCAGGCGTAGACTTGACATCAACACCCTCTACGGCAAGGGAGACTGGACATGACGCAGATCAGCAGTCCTCTCTTGAAGCCCCATCATCTAGTGATTCCAAGGCTGAAGTTTGTCATGCTTTTTATGTGGAGCCTTGGAAGGAGTCTGAGAAGGTTGACTTTCACTATCACCTAGAGCATTGGGCTGAAATGAAACATCAGCGTGCTCTCAAGGGACAATTAACTTGAATTAAGTTAATGTTCTTCAAACTTCTCATTAACCACGGCTATCTCTGTGTCTCGATTGATTGTGGTGCCACAACTAACTTCACGTCACCGCACGGGATACGCAAAGTGGGGTTGGGGATGAAGCAAGTGGCTTTGCGGAGCCCTTGCCAGACTCGAAGTAGGTAACAAGGAAGTTGTCACATCCTCGCGTATAGTCAAAGGTGTGTGCACTACCTTTGACAAGAACAAGACTGTCAACCACTTGGATTATGCTTATGGGGGGGAAGTTTCTAGTTGCGGGCAGGTAGTGGGGGTTTGGTCGGGTGCTGGAAGTGGAAATGACAAGTTGTTAGGCGATTCATATATTGGGGGGGGGTCGAGGAGCAAAGATCGGGATTTTGGCCTGTGTAATGTGGATGGGAGGGGGCTCGATAAGTTGTTGTCAAATTGAATGGAGCTTCTTTGTGGTAATGATGTGTCGTGGGAGGAGGTGGGTAGGGGGGGAACACTCATTAAGGGGGGAGAGGGTGGGTATTTAAGATGGTAAGCGTGGTAGGATTCGTTAGTAGGTTTGTTAGTGTGGTGGACAATAAGGTCGGGAGAGGGAATGATGGCGAACAGTAATTCTCTCACGGTGTGAGACCGATCCGCTTGTCTTTTTTGTCTGGGTACAGTCGCATTGGTCCTTTGGTCCACAAGCTTCGTCGTGTGCAGGCTCTTTTACTTCGTCGTCTTCCGATGATTGCGCTCCTCTTATGGACGCTTTTACTCCGAGCTACCGTCGCTCCCTGGGTCCCACCCAAGGGTCGGTCGTTGGCCAGGTACAAGCGTTAGAGCTTCCCCATAACAATTTCGCTATTCATGGATCGCTTCGAAGCCCATCCACTCTTTGATTTCTTTGGTCCTTACTTTATAACTTCTTTTTTTCTCAGATTTTTGTGAAAAGTTTCTGGTGGTCTAAAATACATCGGGGTTTGTTCGGCAGGTAGAAATTTGTGCACCTATATTCTTGCACTGCCATGATACGTCTTTTGACTTTAAAATAATGTAACAGTAGCGATATTATCTCTGTTTCGGCAGCCGATTTTTCTTCCGCCCTCTTTCTTCAAATCTGGTTGTTGATCAGTGTTGCCTGTTGCCCGCCAGACCCTTTCATGAATTGTTGGATGGGGATTCTGTAAGAAGCAGAGACAGGGGAGAAAACCTGGATGGTCAAACGAAAGAAGTTCAGAAGGATTACCACTTATGTTTTCATGAGTGGACAAATATTGACCCAGTTGTACCCCTTCGACCCCTTACAGAATTCCCAGATCCCTTCCCTCCCTCCTCCTTAAGCTTGGTTCCTCTGAGCTGGTTTGGGATCGAGCAGGAAGAAATGGTTTGAAGTTTTCTTCTATGTAGTTTTGATTCTGTAAAAAAGGCTACTAATGGCAAGGAAAGAGTGATGAGAAGTACTTGGATGATTGTATCAGATTGGGCCATAGGAGGTAGTACTGTTAACATTAACACGGGCATCTGGCGGCCAACTTCTGGCTGAAGAGGCAGTACTCCTTTTCTTCATACTTCCTGTTTTTGTTAATCATGCATCAGTAATCATTGTATAAGGGACGCTGGACCCGTTTTCCGGCAGGTGCAGCTCCCCACCAATAGACCGGAGCCAGCAGCTGGGCTGTTAGCGGTGGATGCTCATAGCATCACCACTAACAGTCTCAGCCGGTTTAAAAAAAAAAAAAAAAAAAAAAAGAAGATGACGCCTGTGCAAACGGTTATCGTAATATCGTGTAATTTAATGTGTGAAGAACTTATTTTGCTGTCAACGGTGTCGTCGATCAAGTCATGAACGGAACAAACTTGTATTTACCGTATGGTCAAAACAAATGTAACGAACTTGTACTTTCCGTGTTGTCCATAAGTTTTAGTGAAACAAAGTGAAACCTTGCAGAAGCGGGACGACTTGCTAGAACGAGTGTCGTGTTTGAGAGAGAGAGAGAGAGAGAGAGAGAGAGAGAGAGAGAGAGAGAGAGACGAGTGTCGTGTTAGAGAGAGAGAGAGAGAGAGAGCAAACTACTTGCAAAGCTTCTGGAAATTCGCCAGATGGAATGTGGCCACCATTGCGGCCACATACATCCAGGGAAGTCCTAGTGCGAGCGTGGCCCAACTTATTTCAGCCCTTGTTGAGGTGAGCTTAGGCAAGTGTTCTTGGAGTTCATCCAACTTACCCCCTTTATTTTGTGTGCAGGTGGAACTCGGTAACAGAATGGTGTGGCAAACCTCCCATCAAGGTGGCTTTCGGTGTGGATTCGCAACGAGGAATGCAGGTGATCAAAGACCGCTTGATGAAGATGTGGTCTGGTTATAATGGAGTCTCTAATTCGGAGGGCATTACGGATAATGGCAATTGACAGTGATGTGTGTTACAACTTACAAACATATCCAGGGACATCGATGAGGTGCACAACCGTCAAGGCTCATCTTCAGAAACAAATGTCACCCTCTCCCTGAGGGAGGATTATCATCATGATGTTTGCTGAAGCGGGACGGAGTTAGGGTTCAGCTGCTTTATGAAAAAGAAGCCTCTGTGGCAGCAACTGGGTTGCTTTCTTTTGTCAGCACTAGCAGGTAATAGTGTGATTTGGCGCAAAAACGACTCTGACACGCCCTTGCACGCTTGCACAGCCGACAGCGGATGTGCATGGGTTTTGAACCCTTTGTGTACTCTGTGCACCGTCTTCTCTGTTTGCTTAGTTGCCATGATTAGAGGAGGAGGTTCAGTCCATAATGTGCAGCATGGTGTCCTCCATGCTCGTATTTCATTTTCTAAGGCTCGCAGAGCAACAGCCTGTCCACCAGAGGCATGACTGTTGGGGCTGTGATATCACCCATGGACACAGGGTAATGTCTGAAAGTCGAATGAGACGCGTGTTGCTTCTTGTGTCTGCTTAATCAAGGCTGTTGGCAATGTGATCCGAACAGCCCGCGTTGCCGCCGCGGGAAGATTGTTTCCTATTCGCAGGAGAACGTCGTTATATGTTTGCTTCCACTTTTCCCCTGCCACCCACCCCATCAAGGCATCCGTACGTTCGTCAATCCATCCATTCATGCGCCGTGTCGACCGTGTGACGATCTGACAGGTACGCAGTTTAGTTGCCAGCACTTGTTGTCGGCGTTTAGCACTGCTGCAGAGTCCATGAGATCGTTCCTGCCCGTGGAGTTGTGTCCAGGCATTTTCGATTGCATATATTCAAAGTTCTATGGACTTCACTCGTTAGCAGAGTGACATTGAGTGTTGCATGTTTTTAAGGAAGTGAGCATAAAATAACATCAAGGTTAATGAGCTTTTCCACTGTTTTGCCTCCCTCCCCCCCCCCCCCCCCCCCCCCCCCCCAATTTCAGAGGATGGCTGTGGTGACTCCACATTGTAGTGGTGGAGAAGTGGGTGCATAGCATATTTATCGTCATATCAGCATGGATAGATGTCGGAGGCCAGTAGGAGGCCTTAACTGATGCTTGCATGGCAAAGCCGGAAGACCGCCCCTGCAAGCTAGCATGTCAGACATAGCAACTTAGCAAGGATGTTACGCCAGAGTGTTGATCCGTAGATCTAACGGATCAGCAAGTGTCGTTGTTATCATTGTGGATAGTCCACACTGGGTGGCTAGCGAATCACCCAAAGTGGGAATGACTCGTGTTATTGTCATCCGAGGGTTAGGCTCCTCTGAGTTGGAAGGCTCAACTGCAGAGTTGACGCGTAATAGAAATGGCTGAATTCCATGGGGGCACTAGGTTTCTGAGACGTATGTTGAAGTGCGCATAATGGTGGACATAATGGAGTCGGAAAAAGGGACCGGTGCTGCTTTCAAGGATTTTTTTTGTTTTTTTAACTTTTTTCAAGTTTTTTTGCATAATTCGGAATCGGTCAGCACACTTCAGGTTCAGGGTGCATGCAATTTTATTTTTCGACAAATGTTTGCAATTTTATTTTCTCAAATCATCCTCAAATCTTCATTTGAACCTCGGTGGATGATGTGCGATCAAATCTCAAGTCTCGTGGAGTTTGTCCATCCCACCAACTTTTATCGCATTGGGAACCTGTGTCACATTTGCCAGTACAATGACTCTCTCACAACAGAGCAACATATCGAAGTCCATCAGGCTAAACATGATGAATGGAAATAATTTGTGCGAAAGCCGTCACTGGAACGTCACCTGATTTCCACAGTCCTGTGCATCAGACACACAAGGGCTTTTTGCGACAGACGCACACGTTTCTGGCTGAACGTAAGCATCACGTTGTCCTTGTGCGACAGACGCAGAGGGCTGTGGATAACAGGTAAGGCCGACTTACTCCGGGGAGGGAGCTGGTTTTGTTTTCGCAGCGGACTTGCAACAAGCAGCATCTCACTGGCCCTTTCACGTCACGGGATGGTTGGCGCCGGCTGCAGGAGTTAGCGGCTCTTCTCTCCTCGCCAGCTCAGGATTTTCTCCGCTCGATAGGGGGCGAACTCGGTGGTCAGCGGGTTTGGAGGAAATGATGCACAGCATATGTGGGGGGTGGTCTGGGACCTGGAGGAGGGGCCTGATCCACAGCTCGATGATCTTCTCGACAGGCGGTAAGCAGATGTGAGACTAAGTCAATGCTACGTGACCTGTGAAGCGGGGTGCGATCAGGGTGCTGAGCTGGTGAAGTGATGGGGGGGAGCGTTGCCAGGGACTATGGCTGCATGTGGTCAACCTCTCAGCAATCACCTAACTCTGTCTTTGCAGCCACTTGCGCACGAGGGAAGAATCCATTCTCGTAATAGGTCTGCTTGCTTTTTTCAGAGGCTCCGCGCTGTTGGCGGGGAGCACCGCCTGCTGGGAGCCGGGCCCAGCGTCCTTTATAAAGACAGAATAGGGGAGCACCGCCTGCTGGGGAACGGGCTCAGCATCCCTCCCGCATGTGCTGGAAAACGGCGCCAGCGTCCCGTATCTGTTAAGGACACAACATTGATTGTCCCGTATGGTGATGCGGGATTAACTGTTCCTTACTCCAAGCTCTGCAAGTCAACCAAACCTCATCGCAGTGTGAACACTGCCTGTTTACTCTTGATGTAAAGGGAGTGTCTTTGTGCCTGTCTGAACGGGCACCGATACTGGAAGCACCATCCTGAGCCCAGGGTGCTTCATCAGGACTCAGTGACATCAAGACTTAGCCATAAGTGATAAGAAGAGAAAAGACGAGAAAGCCTCAGGAAAACAACAAAGAAGAAGGGGGCGTACAAACGCTCTACATGCGGTGTTATGTGCTGCATTCAAATCTTGTTAAGTTCCCCGTGCATGCCTCGCTTCCTCAAACTGGTGGCTGAAGATGAGCCCATCTTTCTGCTGCTTGGGTGTTGCGCAGCAGTATTCCTTGGCTCAAGCACTGGAAAAATGTCTGTAGCTTGCTCTCGGGCGCCTGGATTGCTGTGTATTCATACAATCTGCTCGAATCATATTCTTCAAGCCAGTGATTGTGTTGTTCTGGGCGCTTTCCAAGGAATCGGTGGAATGTGAGAGCCTCACCTCCTTCCTTTATACCCACAAAAAAAACAGGGCTCTTGAAACCCGAACCATGACTGCTAGGGGATATGTTTAGACCTCCCAGTATCAATCTCTCTTATCCCATCCTCTGTCTTGGGCTGTGTGCTTGTAGGCTTGGGTTCACATCGCTTTCAACTATTTCCAGAAACTCTGCGCCTGAGGGCAGGACCACCACAGGTGTTCCCCGTCCTCGTGCTCTGGATTAAGATCCATTCAGCTGTCACGGAACAGGCTGAAACCCATCCTTTCTGATATGCACCCAGTCCTGGTGGGTACGCTCTGAAGGGTGAGCAGCCACTCACGGCTTGCATGTTTGTGTTTGACCAGTGGATAAGGCTCCAGATTTCCCCCCAGATCTTGTGTCCAAGACAGACTGCAGGTTGGAAGGGCCATCTTGGCCTGTGCCTCATTCCAAGCTCCCTTTATTGCACAGCAGAGTTCATAGGCTAGGCCTCCGAAGAATGTGGTAAGAATTTGGTATAGGTTACATTTTTTACTTAAAATTTGCCTGTGAAAACTTTGCCTGTGAAAGGTGGTGGTGGTTAAAAGAAAGAAATGAAAAGGGAAAAAAGGGATCAACCACCTGCTTGAGAGGAGAAAACAAAACGCTGAGGCTGCCTCTCCAGCCCCTTCAGGGGCTGCGTTGACTCTTTTGGGTGAGTTGTATGAGGTGCGTGGTAGTTCGGGCCTTGGAACTGGTGGTTTAATCTCTGCTGCTGGAAAGCAGGTCCAGCGTCCATTTGTGGGGGTTCGGAGGGGGACATATTGTTGGGCGGAGGACCGGTCGAAGTGCGTTGTGGCATTTTTCAGGCAACCACTCACAAACGAAACAGTGCAAGGGGTTGAGGCCCAGTCCCAAACGTCATTTCACCTGTGGCAGTGAGACCCAGTTCTGTGAAGAGACTGTGCCTACGTCCTTGATTCTTGCGCACGGAACTTCTGACCAAAAAAAACTGGTGCAAATCAGGGTCGAGCAGGTCCACATTGTTCTGGTTCAGTGGGGCAGACTTGTTAGAATCGTGTCAGGAGTTTTGTCTCCCTGCCGCTACAAGCAGGTCCACATTGGTCTGGTTCAGTGGGGCAGACTTGTTAGAATCGTGTCAGGGGCAGTTGTAGTTCATAACAAGTATGAGCACATGGCGTGTCAGCAAGCGGGGTGTGTGTGTGTGTGTGTGTGTGTGTGTGTGTGTGTGTGATACTCATGACATAATCACTACCTTACCCTCGTTTTTCTGTTTTTTTCAGAGAAACGCATCGTGATGTCCGTTCGCGGTGCAGGGCATCCCTTGGTTTGTGCATGACAAAGCATTGTGAGGCTCCAGTCTGTTCACTGGGAGCTGCGTGTGCTGGGAACCGTGCCCAGTTTCCCGCAGTAGCACATCGCACATTGAGTTTGTGTAGAAGGAGCCACTACAGCATTGATTGCCCCGAGGAAATCAGGGGATTGTCTGCCGGTGTCCCGCTGGCGAGCTCAGTAGGTTTCATGCCTGAGTGGCACCTACATTCCTGTTGCTGTCGCTTTTAGTGCCCTGAGGAGGATCAGTGCCCACAGCCAGTCAACACTGGTAGCTCGCTCGTGACGCCCTGTAACCCGTAGCAATGGGGGAGCATCGGGCCAAGTGGAAGTGGCTGCTCAGGTCCTGCTGCGGCCGGTCAGGAATACCTAAGAGCTCTTTTTATTGGATGTGTATTGGGGTGTGAGTTCTCAGTCAGTATCGTGACATTCATGACTCAATTACAATGCCTATCAGGTTTGAGACCCTCAATTTTACGATACTTTGAGAGGCTTAAAAACTCTCAACATACCTGCCACAACGTAAAGCTCGATAAGGAAGTTCCATAAGCCGTGATTGTGACATATCTACAGAACTTCCATAAAAACATCGACTTACATGGGGCTCGTCACCTGGGGTCGGGACCCGCTAGTGCTGTTTGCAACAGTGTGGGATGCATTGTATCCTCAGTCGCTCCTTCAGATTGTGCTCCGTCTCCCCCTACTCCGAACCTGAAGCCAGCAATGGGCCGCAAAGATGATGAGAATCCAGGGGCCATGGAAGAATCTCCAGACCCTGGCAAATCTGTCTCCCTGCCCGTGGGTGTGTGCATATGCGGTACCTCCAAAGCCCTGGGCCGAGACAGTGGAACCCCTGTCCCAATTCCACCTGAAAGAGGATCCTCTGGGACAAAACCCCAGGATGTGTGGACCTATGTCCTGCATGGTCATTGAACAGGTACAGAGTTTCACTCCGGGTTGAGCAGAAATCTCCTTGGTTAGGCTGTGCGGGTGAAGGAGACGCAGAGAGAGTTCCTGGCCCATGCTTGCGGCCGTAGGCATCATGCTGTTGGCAGTTGCATCTTGGGATCGGAATAGCACGGTCCTAGATATAGAACAGGCCCATAAGATCTGCACCGGAAGACATGCAGGCAGTCAAAGACACAGCACGGTACGGAGCAGCTGAAGAGTCATGAAGTTTGCGCATCTGCACAGCAGGTGTGGTGATGTTGTTAATGACAACAAGGAATGCAATGCACCGGCGAATGGCAAATGGAAACAGTGAAGTTGTGACCTTTGAACAGCAGTATGAACAGACCTTCAGAACGTGCAAGTTGTCCTCACTACAAAGGCAAGGGCGTGCCTTCAGCTGCTGTCGGCATGTTTTTACGTTTCACAACAATAGAGGTAGTGGCGTATTTATTTTTGCGCAGCCCAGAACTGACTCTCAGTAGCAAGAATGGCGAACGTACATATGGTTAGGGTAGAGAGTGTGTGGACGTGCACTTTGAGGCGAGTGTTGATTACCCAGACGTCTGGTGGTTCGGTCAGGTTAGAGAGTGTGTGCGTGTGCTGTCGGTATGTTTTTACGTCTCACAACTATAGATGTAGTGGCGTATTTATTTTTGTGCAGCCCACAACCGACTCTCAGTAGCAAGAATGGCGAACGTACATATGGTTACGGCAGAGAGTGTGTGGGCGTGCATTTCGAGGTGCGTGTTGATTACCAGGACATCTGGTGGTTCAGTTAGGTTAGAGAGTGTGTGGGTGTGCACTTTGAGGTGCGCATTGATTACCCAGACGTCTAGTGGTTTCACGAACCAGCAGCAAGGTCTCGCACAACGGTGTGAGCTAGAGAGGGATCAAATTTTGATTAGTATGGGTGCGCACATTGCGTGCGCGTGCGCGGAGGTCAGCATTGTCATGAGTGTCGAAGGATCACGCTTGGGAGATGAGTGCCTCAAGCGTTCGTGCACGTGTCCAATTTGGGCGTTAGCCACACGTACCCCATATGCTACAACGAACGAGAAACATGCTCCGCTGATCTACACATGTGACCGCTTGTAAAAGCTCTCGCATGTGGACCAATATCGCAATGGAGATATGCCCTTAAGGGAAGGTGACGGCTCCCACAGGTGGAGGTAAGTTATGCCTAGCGAGGTCTTGTCATAGGATCTCGTGAGAGGTATAGCTGGCACACTTGGCTGGAGCGACAACACCGCTCCTAAACGCTTTGCGTCTTACGTGATGCCACATGGAGGGTCCCCATGTAGGACCGCTGCGCTTGACAGGTGGTGCTCTTCGTTACCTCTCGAGCACAACGGTCCTGCATAGGGACCCTCCCGGCCGCATCACGCGGGTTTGTGGCAGTTGGGTTGCAAGGCATTCAAGACCGATATCATTCCAGCCGAGTGCGCTAGCTATACCTCACGAGTTTCTGCATGAAGATATGACATCGACAA